TATCTATCTATAAGCCATTTCTATATCTATTAACAATAAAAATAATTGCTTTTTAAAAAATTTTAAATATATATAACAAATTATATAAAATAGTTAAATTATTGATATACAGTTATATAAAATAAATTGGAAATTTTGAGATAATAAAAAAAAAGGTAAGACAAATATATATTTTAAAAAGTACCTAAAACTAATAGTATATAATAATAGGAATTAAAACTCTAATTGATGCTGGCAATGAAATTATTTAAACTAAAATCATCATTAAATATAATATAATTTGTATTTCTGAAAGGGGTTCTAGATCCTCTTATACACAACATTGTAGATTTAAGAATTTCAAATCTTAATCGAGTGCGAACCCATGACATAGTCGCAGAAAATTGTCAGCTATTTTTTCTTTTGTTATCTCCACCTATATTAGTAAATATAATTTTCTATGAAATTAATTTTTTTTCTGAGTTTTTGTTATGAAAACCTCTCACAGAGTTAAAATAATAATATGTCTCTGCTATTCACCCTTTTGTTGAATTGTTTGTCTTAACTATTAGAGATGTTTCCAGAAAAAAAGACTACTTGAGATTAAACAAAATTAAGATTTCATCATTCAACATAGAATGATCTGTTTCGGGAAGTTCAAAGACAAACACGTAAAGCTTTGTTTTGTATGTTGCCTAGCGTTTTACTAGTCTTGAATTTGCCCCAGGGGTTTTCGACTGTAGGATGCTTTGAGTACTACGTGGCAGACGTTATCTTGCCACTCTTGATACCTTAGATAGTCCGGCGCGATATGGAAACAACTTGCCTAAATCTCCTTGTATAGTCTCGTGTTCTGTCTTTCTACAAGACTTTCAAGGAGTTGTTTTATCAGTCTTAGTATCTAATTAAATAAGAAGCGAAGGCGTAATTCTAGTTATGGAGATGAATTAATAACAACAGAAGCGTGTGTATAGACTGAAGGTGGTTCTATAGGGCGGCACGCGTGGCCTGAGCATACGCTATAAATCAACTTAAATAATTTTTTTGATGACGTCATAACCGCAGCAGGTCTCCAAGGCAGCAGCCTCTGGTTGATAATTGTTTTTGATGTCGGTTTACAAAAATTTTCTTGATAAGATGAGTTCGACTTTTCGATAAATGCATAATAACAGAATTGACGCAGCATTAAAATGTAATTACTGTTGGCAAAGTATTTGGCCATCTTAAAACGTTATTTCATGAATAGAACATTTTCGAACTAGTGTCCAAATATTAACAACTTCGACAACTTCGACAATATAAACATTTGACATTCGACGGACCTTCATTGGAATGCATGAATATTCAAAGTAATCAGTTCCATACCAAATCGAGAGTAACGAAAGAAAAATAAAATAAAATAAAATACTGTATAGATTTATGAATAAAAAGGAAATAGCATAAGATAAATTGATATAAAAATAAAAGGAAAACAACAAAGAACAAAGAAAAGTAAAATAAATAAATGCAAAGGCAGAGAAAACTCACTTTAATTAGAGCTTTTAAGCTAGGGACTATATTTAAAAATGTAGACCCTACTYCACAATACGAAAGAAATCACATTTTTTCTCGATGGAATTTGTTTTGTATCTCCAAGTTAGCATCACATTCAAGCAGTTTTAAGAAGAGTACATAAGTAGTCTGTATTTAGTTTTGAAATCTTATTCTAAAGAACAAAATCTATGTCAAGAAYCAAAATTAGCAGCTTCATATCACGTACACCTAATTAAAAAAACTTAGGCCTTAGGCGATAGGTTATTCCGACATGTAAATGCGGTTTCGTTGAATACAAAGAACATCAAAATCAGTCTCAGCACTAAGGTCCATACTCGTGCCGAGAAGAAGAAGAAGAAACACAAGTCATTCCAGCTATTCTTGGATCTTGGAATGACATATATCCTATAGCTTTTCACCTATTGCCAATCGCCTTTGGCGATGACGTTTTTTTGAATTAGGTTAATACTTAAATGGATTTTGGCTCGTTGCAAATGGTCAACAAAAAGTTGGTATCGTTCATTGAATTTTCACGTAGAAACGTTTAAGTTCAGTCAACTATTTGACGCATATGGTTCTTAAAAACTAAATTAAAAAACTGCAATAATYATTACGTTCATTTATAATTCCATGTCCCACCAAAACCGATCGATTAAAATTAAAAAGTGAACTAACTTTGTTCTTAGAGGATAACATTTGACGGTTAACGTGGGTCCTCTTTTAACGCTAGTTGATAAGGGACGTGACCGGTGTGCCATGAGCTTAATCATCCGAACAACGTGAAGATGTTACTAACTGAACTAACCGTGCGACGCTCGTAATATTATAGAGAGCTCATTTTCGCCATGAAACCAAGTCAAGGAAATTTAACAAATAGTCATGAGAGGACGCACTGGGGTCCGTACTGTAAATATTCCACATACATTTACAGTAAAATTTTACCCGCATTCCTTGAATACCAAAATGGGGATTAAGATTAACTCCAGCAGTGTTCTATGATGAAGGTGTTTTTTATAATCCCTCTCTTCCATTGTTTAAGTCTGTGCCTGACATTTGAGATCAAACAACGCTAGTGCTGGTGTGGCGGGAATTCGGCGGGTAAAGTGGCTACAATGCAATCATTTTACCCTTGTATTACAAAGAAAAGTTGCTTGATGTCGATCAAAATTATACATTCCTCCTCTAAATACCAACCAGGAATTACTTGGGTCTCAAGTAATTATTTGGCCGAAGCCATTTTACCAATTTTATGCCGGACTTCGCATAGACCACAACCAAGTTGCAGATGACAGAGATACAATAATTTATTCAAAGGCACCAGCTAGCGAATGAAGTGATCGTTTCTTCTTCTGGTCTGTATGTTTCTTTGTTACATATATATTGAATTATTACAAGGTGATAGAGCGTGCGTTGATCAAAATTATGACAACTTTCTAACTAGTACACGGCATCCAGAATTATAATAACGACCTTCTAACTAGTACACGGCATCCAGGCGTCTCGCCGGAGCGTGCTGAAACCTAGAATTATAATAACAACTTTCTAACTAGTACACGGTATTCAGGCACTTTCCGAACTTATATGGACGCAAAAAAACTTTCAAATCCTTTGATGTTGTTGTTTAGCGAGTCTCTTGATKTTGTGTTTTATTTACGACGAAAGTGAAAACAAATTGAGGTTGGGAGTTGCTCAAAACGTAAACGCTACAGAAAAAAGGCGATGACAATTAGAGGTTCCGGCTTCATTTTTACTTAGGACACCTTACACGTTTTAATCCTTAGGTGTCATACTTACAGTAAGGACCCGAGTGCGTCCCCTCATGAAGGAACGTTAAACCACAGGATACCATTTTAAAGCACATATACTGCTTGCTTGCTTGCTTGCTTGCTTGCTTGCTTGCTTGCTTGCTTGCTTGCTTGCTTGCTTGCTCACCTTGCTCGCTTGCTTACTTGCTTCCTACGTTCAATGACCTACCTATTAATATTTTGTATATAGATCATATACTTTTAGATAAACACAGCCCACCAGCCTCTCAACAATTACCAATACGTAACAGCATGCTTTTGAAGGTAATGTATCGAAAAGGAGTATGCGTGGAAATCACTATTAATTTTTTTGATCTTAATTAGTTGTTTAATTGCACTTGATAATAACATATTAGTAGTGAGTACCAACATATTTACTTCTATTTTCACAAACGCCATGCGAACTCTGTCGGTACCTTTCATATTTTTGACTGGCAGCTGCGAAAAACCAAATTTCAGATTGCAGCTCGCTTTTATGAAAATAGAAATAATGTACGTCATCTGGCTTTCCAAAAGGAAAACCAAGGACGTTATGACTCAGATTCTCGCCTTTATGTTATTAATCACTAACTTTAATTTATTAAGCACTTATGGTATTTTAAACCGTTGTAGTCCCTTAACTAATTTGAATAATTGACTGCATTACAGACTGGGGTACTAGTTGTTTGTCTTCTTCTCATTCCCATTGTCATGTCATGGGCGGATGGCCAGGAAATGATACCAGAGCAAGAAGAAGAAACACGCCATTATGGTCATGTACCACCACCACCACCAGAAAAACCATGCAGCACGATTTGCAAGGGAACGACATCTAATAGGACTATAAATACCCGACATGGAAAGGTATTTTGTCTCGTACCAACTATAGACGAAATGATTGAACACCTCAATAAAATTGGAGGTTACAATCGTCATTATGTTGCGATTACGCTGGAAGAAGCAGAGGCCAATTTTGTGAACCTACTTCCAAAAGAGAAAAAACCAACATCGACGTTACCGAAATACAGAATCTCCTACAAACACTCACACAAGTGGCGTGGGCGTGGGCGTGGGTTTTGGCGTGGGCGTGGGCGCGGTCATGGTCATGGACTAAAGTTGAATAACATCAAAAACCCAAGAAGCAGCAGCGACGTCAGTGCTAACGATATTGGTTTAAATGAAATGAAGAAAAGACAAGCCGATTCAAGCGTCAGCTGCCTAACACCAACATGCCTAAGCGCAGGTTCCTCGACCGTGGATGGTTATCTAACCTGTCCTGCATGCCAACGTTGTAGGAAGCTTGAAAATTTTCTCTTCCCAGAATACGTAAACGAAGTTACGTGTGACGACTCGCCTTCGGGATATTCCAKTACCATTAACTGCACTCCAAAGGTTGGTGAATGTAAGCAAAACGTGATGACCATCGATGTGCTCTCAAGGGAAAAAGATAAATACCAACTGATCAAGCAGAAAGGTTCGAATTTTCACTTTATGCAAGTTTGGGAGAAAAAGACCATACGAATTAAATCATGTTGTGAATGTTTTGCAAGCCGTATATATAAAAAATAACAAAAGGTTTTTCTCTAATCCATGCTTCCAAGTTAAGTGCAATAGGTAGTTTGCTCTCTCGAAATGAGAACTAGATATGATTTATCTTTATTTGCACTGTTATAAAAAGGTTAATCGCAACGGAAACTGAATTTCAAATAAACAAGTCGTAAAATTATTTTCTATGTCGTATTTCGTTTTTTCCCTCTATCCATCCATGCATCCATCCATGCATCCATCCATGCATCCATCCATGCAT